TTTAAGTTTTACATGAACAGTACCATCGGGTAAACCATGTTCACCATGTGTTTTAGATATATGATTAGATAATGTAGTACCGAGCGCACGATCAGTATTAAGAATCTCGCAGACAATGTCAACTTTTTCTTTCTTTTTCAACGCAGGTTCTGATTCATCAATAAGCTTATTATCTAATCTAATATAAAGTTTATGATCTTGTTTTAAGACATTATGAGTAGCAACTCCAGGACGCAAGGTGAATGCTGGTGTTAAAATTGGAGTAAGATCGATATTTGCAGTCTTTGCGTTTCGTAAAGGTTCATTAACTTTAAGTTTATCGGTACGGCCGACCATTTCGTTAATTTTTCGGAAGCCAAGTTTGGCCATGATTTGCCTACACTCCTCGGCCACATAATAAAAGAAGTTTATTACATGTTCAGGTTTACCTTCAAATTTTTTACGAAGTTCAGGATCTTGTGTAGCAATACCAACTGGACAAGTGTTCAAATGACATTTTCGCATCATGATACAACCAATAGCGATCAACGGAGTGGTTGCAAAACCCCACTCTTCAGCACCCAACAAACAAGCAATTGCTACATCACGTCCGGTTCGAAGTTGTCCATCAGTTTGGACAATGACACGACCACGAAGGTCATTCAATACAAGGGTTTGATGTGTTTCGGCAAGACCCAATTCCCAAGGTAAACCAGCATATTTAATACTCGTCCATCGAGAAGCACCAGTACCACCATCATGACCGGAAATTAATATATGGTCTGCTTTCGCTTTCGCGACTCCAGAAGCGACAATACCGACACCAACCTCTGATACTAATTTGACAGATACACGAGAACGAGGATTTGAGCATTTAAGATCATAAATAAGTTGTTTCAAATCTTCAATAGAATAAATATCGTGATGAGGAGGTGGACTAATTAAACCGACACCGGGAGTAGATTTTCTTGTTTTCCCTATAGCGTCAGAAACTTTATGCCCTGGCAATTCACCACCTAATAATTTAATTGAAAAGAAAGTAATACTAGATTAAATTTCAATTTAAAAATATACACACGTTATACACATGCTATATACATATATAACACATATATACGTGTATCTATATATAATCATTGTGAAATAAATATATAAGGTTTAAATAATCACCTTCACCAGGTTTTGCACCTTGAGCCATTTTAATTTGTAACTCATCTGCGTCAGTAAGGTAATAGGAAGTGACACCAAAACGTCCAGAAGCGACCTGCTTAATGGCAGAACGCATAGAACCACCATTTGGTAAAGGTTTTGAACGTTCAGGATCTTCACCACCTTCACCAGTATTTGATTTACCACCCAGACTATTCATAGCTAAAGCTAAAGTAGAATGAGATTCTTTTGATATTGAACCATAAGACATGGCACCAGTACAAAACCTTTTAACAATTTCAGTCCAAGGTTCAACTTGATCTAACGGAATAGCTTTTGAATTATCAAAATCAAAGTCCAAAAGTCCACGTAAAGTACAATTTTTTATTTGATCGTAAGCATTACGAGCATAAGCATCATAAGCCGATTTATTTTTTGAACGAACTGCATCTTGAAGATTAGCGATACCAACCGGATCATTAATATGAGGCTCACCACCATCTCTCCAATGATATTCACCAGATTCTGGTAAACCTCGGGGAATAATTGTATCACGTGTAGGATAACCTCGTTCATGGAAAGTAATAGCATCCAACGCAAGAATATCAAATGTAGTTCCTATAAATATTATCATTATTCATATTATTGTTATATATATATATAAATATATATAATAAAGAATACACAAAAAAAAATATAAATACCTTTTATTCTACTAGAAGTTCCAGCAAAACAACGAGCAATAACGCTTTCATCTATACCGAGTGCTTCAAAAATTTGGGCACCTTTATAACTTTGTAAAGTTGATATTCCCATTTTTGACATAACTTTGAGAATACCGTTATTTATAGCCTTCTTATAATTATAAATAATTTTCTCAGAAGGTAAATCACTCTTGATAGCATTTTCACGTTTAAGTTTAAAAATAGCTTCCATGACAAGGTATGGACAAATAGCATCAGCACCATAACCTAATAAGACACAAATATGATGGACTTCACGTGCTTCAGCAGTTTCAACTACGAGGGCAATCTTTGAACGTTGTCTAATTCTAACAAGATGATGATGAACACCACCAACAGCGATTAACGAAGAGATTGCGACGCGTTCGGCATTTACGGCCGTATCAGAAAGAATGACAACTTTGTAACCTTCAGTAATAGCTTGAGAAACTTCGGAACAAATACGTTCCAAAGCAAGAAGATAACCAGGAATACCTTCTTGTTTAGGGAAAGTAATATCAATTGTAGCAACAGTCCAATCCGGTTGAACGCGTTCTATACACTTGATCGCGTTCAATTCATCAATTGAAAGTATAGGAGTCGGTAAAGAAAGTCTACAAGTTTGTTGTTCATCGATTTCTAAGATGTTGCCTTCCGGTCCAACATAACATTCAAGAGACATAACAATCTCTTCACGGATAGGATCTATTGGTGGATTTGTTACTTGAGCAAATAGTTGACGAAAATAATCATAAATTAAACGTGGTTGATCGGATAGACAAGCCAAAGGTGCATCATTGCCCATAGAACCCAGTGCTTCTTTACCATCACTCAACTAAAAAAATTCAAATGAAATTAGAGTTAAATATAAGATGGGAAATTCTTGTAAAAAAAAAATAAAATAAAAATTTGCAATAAAAAATTGCAATAAGAATTGCAAAAAGAATTTTAATAAAGGATTATAAATAATATAAATAATAAATACCATGGGCAAAACTAAAAGATTTAATTGTTCGATAGTATAACCGAAAGCGTGTAACCTTGGATCATCAGATACAGATATATCATCTAATTCAACAGAAATTCCATTACCAGTAGATTTTATTCTTTCAATTATATTATCAAGAGTAATCATATTATTATCTAACCAAGCACGAAAATTTGCTTTAGAGGCAACCGATAATTTTAATTCTTTATCATCTACAACACGACCTTCTTCAGTATCAACCAATAACATTTTTCCAGGTTGTAAACGACCTTTTTTGACAATACGTTCAGGTTCAATACCAATAGTACCCACTTCAGAAGCACAAATCATTAAGTCATCAGTGGTAATATAAAAACGGCAAGGACGAAGACCATTACGGTCTAAACTAGCACCACAATAACGACCATCAGAGAAAGTAAATAAAGCAGGGCCATCCCAGGGTTCCATAAGACAAGCAGCCCATTGATAAAAAGCACGTTTTTCAGGTTCCATAGCAAAATTATTTTGCCAAGCTTCAGGAATCATCATCATAACAGCCTCAGGAAGAGTGACGACACCATTAATAACAAGTAATTCAAGTACGTTATCAAAAGCAGCAGAATCAGAGCCACCTTCCTCTATAATAGGATATAATAAATCAAGATCTGCACCGAAAGAATCAGATTTCATGATTCCTTCACGAGCACGCATCCAATTTTTGTTTCCTCTCAAAGTATTAATTTCACCTATAATTTAATCAAAAAAAAATTTTTTTTTTGAATTAAGATTGGATTTGAATTATTTAAAGAATTTATAATAAAATATTAAAAAAAATATCAATAAATAAATAAGTAGATATAAGTAAATATATACAAGTAAATATAAGTGTATATAGATGTGTATATATGTATAAATATAATATATATATATATATATATGATAAACGAAAATAAAATAAAACGAACTAATAACATACATTATAAAGATGCCGCCCTAAACTATCCAGTACTTGGAAAAAACTTGGATAAACTGGTAACAGCTTAACTAAGTTTAACCAAATTTCTACATGAGAATATTGACATTTCAGAAAAAAATGGATAGGTTCGGGCAATCTCGGGCAACATCTTTGAGTATATCTAAGCAAAAAAATAAAATAAAAAATAAATACCATTATGAGCACACCACCGCATAGGTTGAGCGCGATCCCAAGAAGGAAAAGTATTTGTAGAGAAACGGGAATGAACCAGAGCGAAATGGGTTCTATATGCCACATTATTTAAATCGTGAAAATAATTGTAGACTTGTACAGGAGCCAATTGACCCTTATATATAATATTTTTGTTCGAAAGGGAACAAATATAAAACCATTTCTTAACGGTAATAGCATGAGTAGTTTGCTTGCGAAGGATGTAAAGTTGACGAGAAAAATAAGCTTCATCGAAATTATCATCATTTGGAGAAGGAAGAGAATTGTTTGAAGAAGCAACAGGATCATAACTCGCCAAAGAAACAAAAGGTTGTAAAATGATTGGTTCCCGAGACTTCGCAGCGGGACCAAGAATGGAATCATTCTTTGGAACTTCACGCCAACCCAAAACTTTTAGGTTTAAACTTTTAGCGGCCTGTTCAAAAATCTGTTTACATTCTTCGGTAACAGCATGTTCAGGTTTAAAGAACACGTTACCAACAGCATATTGACCTTGGGGAGGTAAATTAATACCCAATCTAGTAGTTTCCTGATGAAAAAATTCGTGAGGAATTCCGGTCATGACACCAGCTCCATCACCATCTCTAGCATCAGATCCTACGGCGCCTCTATGAGTCATGTTACAGAGAACATCTCTGGCATCACTAAGGATCTTGTGAGAAGGAGCACCTCTAATGTGAACGATAAAACCGACACCACAAGAATCTTTTTCATAATCGGGATCATAAAGACCTTGTTTTGGAGGAAGGGCATCGGCCCAAGAGGTATTATTAGAATCACGAAATATAAAATCTTTTTGACTAATATACGCCGATTGATCGTTTTGCTGAATATTATTATGGTTTACAGAATCAACGATAGATACCATAATTATGTTACAAAGACCAGACAATAGAAAAATTAATTGAAATAGATGTTCTTAATATTAACGAGAGGATGATAAGGGAAGGAAAATATGAAAAAAAAAGAAAAATTAAGAAAAAAGAATAAAAGTTAAGATGAAAAGATTACTTTATATATATCTACAATTTTAAGTAGGAGCACACTTATCGTATATATTTATATACAATATTTTTTCACAAATTATTAGTAACTGAAAGGAAATTAATATATATTATTATCAATTGACAAAGGAATTAATATTTATTGTCTACGCGTAAGACAAGTAAATTAATTGATATAATCTATATATTTTTTTTTTATTTTATAACTTATTTTTTTTTTATTTATTTTTTTTTTAACTCTTCACGAAAACTCAAGAGCAAAAAACAGAGTTATCGCAGAAAAAAAAGCAAAATGGAAGCTATATATTTATTGATTTCTAAGATAAACTTTTTTCACAAGATGAATTGGAGTAACGTTTTTCGCTGATTGATAAGATAACCATCAATCTGCTCGGACATAGTGCCAGGAGATGGCCGATAACAAAGTCGATGGCTGCGTCACGTGAAAAAGAGAATAGAAAGAAGTCATCTGATCAATTGTGTATACAATAAAAAGAAAACTGATTTCATTTATTTATTTACGACACGCATTATCAAACATATCAAAAAATTCTATTGTTTTCAGATGTGATACGAATACGATAAAAATCGGATGAAATAGGAATGCCTATAGGAATTTTCGATATCGGTGAGAACCGTAATAATCTTCGTTATATCGTTAGATGTATGTAATGTATGTAGTAATAAGTAGGACGTTGAGTGCCTTATATATTGTCTAATGTATTCATCTTGCATTCATCTAATGTATTTATACATTACATCATATTATTTAAGGAAAATTCTGTCAAATATTTCAAATGTTTCATTTAGTTTTAATGTATGTAAATTTCACGTTTTTTTACACAAATTTAATATTGAAAATTTGCTGAATTTCAAATTCTAAATCTGTCGATTAGATTTAGATTTTCCTTTCTTGG